GCCGGCCGGCCCTGGAGTTCTCCTGGCCCAGCCGCCAGCACCGGCCAGCCCGGGGGGCCTTCGGTTTGCCTGCCAAACGCTATTTCCAAACAGGTCACATTCACAGGCACAGGGCTGTGGCCCGTCGTTGGGAAGGACACCTTTCGACTCATAGCAAGAAAATGAGATGGAAACAGCCCTGCTCATTCCAGGGCTTGTAAAGGAGACTGAACAAAGTACGTTAGACGGGGTTTGCCATCCCCTGCCTTAGAGACTACCAGGGCGTTCACAGGACAGGGAAGGCCAAGCGTGGGGTGGCAGGATGGGGGGCACAAAGAGCAGGGTCTCGGGGTGCCCTCCAAGGAGCCTTTTCAGAAACTAGGATGCCATAGCAAGCACCCTACTTGCAACACCTATTTTGAAACAGGCCTCAGTTTTCCCCTGGTGAAGCGGACACACTGGGTACCGATGCTCTCTGACGCAAGCAGCCACTGCTTCTGAGGAAGGAGAAGCCTGTGAGGAGCGCGGGACAGCAACCTCTTTTCTGACGTGGGTGAGTCCCGCGCAGACACCTGGCACTCTCTCTCCAGGCTGGCGGGCAGGCCTGGGGCACTGTTTCATTTGCTCCCAGAGCTTGGGCTCATGGTTCAGTTCTGCAGGCCACCCTCCTTCCTGGTGGGAGACTCCCCTCGGCGGTGGCACCGGTCCCTTCGTGGGCTGGCGAATTGTTCTGTGCTCCGGGCCTGAAGGACTTGTCTAGATTTGGCCAACATGACCTGTGTGAAGCACAGAAGATGAACCCTCTTGACTGGCAGCGAGCTGCATGCAGGAGGCGCCCTGGTTGGCCTGAGGTTGCCCATCCAGGCCTGGTGTGGCAGCTCGGCTCTGCCATCCTGACCCCTGGCGCCCTCCTCTCTTCCTCCTGTGGCTCAGCCTTTTTCCTCTTTTACCTGATAATATAGCAACATCAGAGAAAAACATTTCCCAAAAAGCCTTCCAAATCCTGCCCTCCTAACCCATTCTCTCTCTATATATAGGTGTGTTTGTTTGCTTGCTTTTTGGTACTGGGATCAAACTCAGGACCTTGCACTTGCGAGGCAGTCGGTAGAACCACTCAGCTAAGTCCCCAGCCCTGCAGGTATGTTTTTAAAAAACAATTCGGGTTCCGGCTACAGCTCAGTGATACCAAACAACAACAACAAAATCCACGTGATAAAAATGGCATGGAGCCACAGGCACACATACCCTGGTTGTGATGTGTCACCACTGAGGACACCCGGTAGAGGTCGGATTTCCTGTTTTGTTTTGTTTTTTTGTGGTGCCGATGATCGAGCCCAGGGCCTTGCACATGCCAGGCAAGTTCTCTTCCGCTGAACTGGACCCTGAAACCTGTCTCATTTCTTATAACTGCACGCGGGTTGACAGTGACCTAAGGGGAAATCTCAGTGAGAAGAGCACGTGGCTCCCTGTTGAGCCATTTCCCGTGGAGATGGTGCTGCAGTCATTCCAGTGTCCCACGGCCCTGCTGCACGCGCTCTGTGGCCACATGACACTTGTCCTGTGGGTGTCAGAGGGTTCCCTTAATCACCCCTCTTTTGGAAGGTGTTTCCAGTTTTTAGCTACTGCCAACAGTGCACTATTATTTGAACTATTTCATTAGGGTGAATTCCAGGGAGTGGGGTTCCCTGGACACGAGGTTCAGACTTTTAGGTCTTCCCGTATTCTGCACCTTTGATTTTATGGTCCCTTTAGGGCTGACTTTTCTAGGGGCAGATTGGCTTTTCCTCAAGACACCATAAGTTCTAGGGCCAGGGATTTAGCTCAGTGGTTCTGCTACCTGCCTTGCAAGCACAAGGACCCGAGTTCGATCCCTGGTACCAAAAAAAGAAAACAAAACAAAACAAAAAAAAGACAGCATAAGTTCTCTGCCAGTGGCTTTTAGCCTTTAGATTTGTAGGGAAAAAACAAGGAGCCTCTCCCCGCGTTTCTGCCCACACAGTATCGCTTGGGATTTGAGTGGCAGAATGACAGCAGCAACCACACCGCTGGAGGAGCTGTCACGGTGTCACCCTCCCGCGGCCCTGGCGGGTGGCCTGGGCCCCCGGAACACGGCTCAGGTTCAGCGCGGGGGTCCCAGGCTGCGAGGGTGGCGGGGCCTCCACGCATGCGCGATGCCCGCCACCCGCCTGCTCGGAAGCCGTTTCTGAGCCCACCGCTCTGGGCTGTCGGCAGCTTGAGAGACCTCTGTGATGTCCTCTGTCTGTCCCCAGGTGGGAGCGCTGGATGACAGCCCGACCTCCCACTGGGGACACAGCCCCCGGGGGTCACGGCCGGCACGGGGCGGGCCTGGGCCTCCAGAAAGCTCTGGAGCCAGGCACTGGTGCAAACTGTGGCAGGAGTCTATTTATTACTTTTTATTTATTTTAATCTTATCTTAAAACGCATTCTGTTTCATTCTAATTATTTTATTAGAGTCAGTGTAATTTTAAACATTTTAAATTGTTTTATATTTTCTTTCTTTCTTTTCCTTTCTTTTTTTGGTACTTGAATCGAACTTGGCACCTTGTACTTGCGAGGCAGGTGGCAGCACCACTGAGCTAAATCCGCCGCCCTATATTTTACTTTAAAATTTTAATTTCAGGGGCCGGGGATTTAGCTCAGTGGTGCTGCCACCTGCCTCGCAAGCACAAAGACCCAAGTTCTATCCCTGGTACCAAAAAACAATTTTTTAAATTTCAGTTTTAAAATAAGAACCAAGACCTGTCATGTAAGGGTACAAGATCCCAATGATGAATGTAACTGTACTGTATACCTAAAATGTACCAATAAACTCAATGAGAAAAAGAAGGGAAAGAAATTTCAGTTTTAGTTTTTTGCAGTTTGGATTGCCAGATAAAATATAGGATGCCCTGATATATTTGGATTTCAGATGAGCAAAGATACTTTTAAGTAGAAGTGTATTCTGTTTAGTTATGTCCTATTTCATTCATATATGATGGTCATCCTGTTGATTTTGTTCATTTTTGTTTTGTTTTTTTGGCTTGAACCTTGGCCTTTGCACTGAGCTGTATCTCTAGACCTCTTTTTAAAAATTCTTACATTCTGAGACAAGATCTTTCTGTGTTGCCCAGGCCAGGCTGGAATTTGCAGTGCAGTGCTCCTGACTCAGTCTCCTGGAAGGCTGGAACCGTGCAGTATTTCTGTCTGCTAAATCTGACAGCCCAGTTTGCCCGGCAGCATCTAGTCTGGAGGAAACCCTGCTCCACCTGTGACAGCCAGTAGTCCCTGTGAACGTGGGACACAGTCTGGGGGCGCAAGAGGGCGTGTGTACCCTAGTGTCACCCAATGGAACTGGCCAGCCTCCCTGAGGGCGAGTGGCACAGCCCCAGCAGGTGCACAGACCCCAGCACCCTGGCTCAAGCCCTCTGAAGTGCCCCCAAGACCTCTGTCCTGTGACAGGGGTGGCAAACTTGTGGTACACATGCTGCAGGCTCGCGAGCTGAGTCCCGCGGCATCACCCCAGCAGCCAGACGTGCAGGTTTAATTGCAGCATCGGCACCTTGCAATAAATAAGTGGGTTCTGGGTGGCGGTTGGGCACTTGGCCTCCGAAAGGTTCGCCACCCGTGTCCTATGAGCAAAGAGCTCTGAGGAAGGGACCAGCTCTGCCAATAGCAGATCTGGACTTGTTGCTGGCCTCAGTTTCTCCAACTGTGGAATGGGGCCGTTGTCTGGGTTATGTGAGATGATAGATGTGAAAGTTCCTGGTGACCCAAGAAGCCCAGACATCGGACTGTGTGCTTAGCTTTCTCTGGTCCATTTCAGAGGGAGATTCACAAACAATAGCGTTCACCAAGTTTAAGTACACAGCTTGATGAATGTTGACCATAGGCACAGACATGTGACCACCTCATAGCAGTGAATTTTTTTTTTTTTTTTTTTTTTAGGTCCACAAATCTTTGGTGGACATCTGCTCTCCCCTGTGCTCTGGGGTGTACCAGGCACTCAGGGTACAGAGATGAAGGCCTCAGCCTTTCCTGGAGGAACTGAGTCTGGGAGAGAAGACAGCCTGTACACGGATGTGATTTGCATCAACGCAGAGCAGCAGCTCGTGGAGGCAGCACATGGGACACAGGGGCGGGGCTGCAAGGTTGAAGGGACCTGTAGGACTGGAACAATCTAGAACGTTCCAGAAACAGGATGCCCTCCCCAGCCCCACCGGGCTCTCAGTCCCACCCTGTGACTGGGCCCTGAGTGCCCCACGGGCACCCACATCCTCCTGTTTGCCTTTTTCATCTGGAAAAGGCCTTCAAGGGCCTTCTCTGAGAAGCCATCCTCAGTTTCCCTCGTGGCTCTGGGAGAGTCTGGGGCCTGCAGGTGTTGAGGGGTGGAGAGTAGCAGGGGCTAGGAAGGCAGAGGTGGTGGGGAGGCTGGGGCTTACTCGCTGGCAGCAGGGACACAGAGAACAGGAGAAGACGAGCAGCCCGCAGGGGAGGGGAGCCTGGAAGTGTGTGGGGTATGGGCCTCTGAACTGGGGAGAAGGTGAAGTGCTCCAGGTCCAAGGTGCCACCCTCAGCCAGTGCCACCCCTGTGCCCGAGGGGCTCACCTTGGACCAGCGCCCTCATCCTCCTGTGAGCGTAGCACCCCAGCATCCATCACCTTCCAAGAACCCCACCCTGAACACACGAGTCCCTGGGGTGACATTGTAGATGTCGCCGTACCAGTGGCCTTGGGAGCACAGAATGTTGCCATTCTTGCCTCTGTCCTGTCATTCTTGCCCTTCAGGGAAATCTGAATTCCCTCCTCTCTTTCCAGCAAGTGCGGCCCCATCCCGTCCTACCTGGATGGCCACCGAGTCTTCACCGAAGTCCTCTGGGGCCAGTCTGTGCCACCGCAGCCTGAGTGATCACAGGATGCCCGCCGCAGTGCGACATGTTCTATTGTAAAAAATCAGATACTCTCATAGCAAAACTTCAGATGGTAGTGAGAGTAGTGGGGGAAGCCAAGGATCGGCCTTTCCTTGTCCCAGGCTGCAAGCCTGCCCCCCAGAGGAGCCTGCGTGTGGCAGCCATCACGTGCAGATGTGTAACTGCGTGTGCGCCCCCACGGCAGCCCAGCCTCTGCACCTGCACTCTCCACCTGCACGCGCACAGGTAGGGGTCGCTGCTCCACTCCTGCATTTTGCTCTTACGATCGTGGTCCAGAGATAGCAGTCACTGGCAGCAGAACTGCTGGCTTGACCGTCATGTGCAGTTAAAATGCTGATGACTTTTGCCAAATTGCATCTCATCATGGCTTTCCGGATTCCCTTTCCCATAAATGATCTGACACTTTTCCTCTCCTTTCCCAACGTGTCTGCATATCTTTGTTAGTCACCTGACACCTCCGTGGAAAAGTGGTTTCTTGTTGTAATTGTGTCTGTTACCCGTATGAATCTCTTTTTCTTTTGTGATGTCTCACATACCCGTCTTTTTGCCAGTAGGTTCTTTGTATGTGGGGTTTTTGTTTTGTTTTGTTTTTGGTACTGGGGATCGAACTCAGGACCGTGTGCGTGGGAGGCAGGCAGTGGCCCTCTGTATGTGGCTTATTGATTTGTAGCCATACTTTGTAGTTAAGGAAATTGGCACATTGTTTCTCATATTGTTGATAATATTTTTATTACCTTTTTATTTTGTGACAAAAATAATAAAAGAATAATAGCAGTTAATACACTATGCATCATTATTGTCAGAGTACTTACTCAGAGTCCAAGAGATAGACAAAAAGGATTCTCTTTTACAAAGAAGAAACAAGTAATAGCACAAAACTTGCTTTTCAAAAAACTAAGAGGGGGCCAGGGATTTGGCTCAGTGGTTCTGCCATCTGCCTCACAAGCACAAGGACCTGAGTTCAATTCAAAGACCAAAAACCAAAACAAAGAGAAACTAGTATCATAAGTGAAACAAATTAGCATATATGTTAAAATATTTTTGAAACAATGGAATAGATAATTTGGGGGCCTCCTTCTCCTTACTTCCTGTCTATCTAACTTCTATTTTGCTCTTTATTTGCATATATATTTTTTCTTATGCGAGAGACCATATGACATTTAATCTTGTGTATCTGATTTATTTCACTGAATGTGTTCTTAAATTGCATCCATGTACCTATGAACGCCTCCAGTGTATCTTTCTGGATGTAGCACACGACCCCATGGTGTATAAATGCTGCATTTCCTTACCCACTCATCTGTTTATGGACATATACAGTTTCCAAGATCCAGCTTTTGTAAATTGTGTGCTGTAAACATGGGCATGCATGTGTCCCAGTAATATATCTTTGCCAGCACTTGTTACTGTTAGATTTCTTTCCCCCAGTACTGGGGATTGAACTCAGGACCTTGAGCTTTCCAGGCAGGCGCAGCACCACTGAGCTACATCCCTAGCCCTATTGTTAGATTTTTTTGATGATAGCCATTCTTTCTGGGGGGAAATGGTCCTGCAGTATAGTTCTAATGTGCATTTCTCTAAAGGCCAGAGATGTTGAAGATTTCTTCGTGTGTTTACTGACAATTTGTACTTCTGAGAGTATCTATTCATTTCGGCTGCCTAATTTTCGATTCATGCTTTTTATTCCCATGATTTATGGTTCCATTTTTTACATTTACATTTTTATCTGTCTGCAGTTTATTTTGATATAAAGAAGAAAAGGTATGGATCCACACTGGATTATTTTCTAAATGGCTACCCTTTCCCAAAACAATTAAACAAATACCATTTCCCCGTGGATTCAGTGCCACTTTTATCTTATTCTGAATTTCTTTCTTTTTTTTTGTACTGGGGATCGAACTCGGGTCCTTGCACTTGCAAGGCAGGCCACCAAACTGCTGAGCTAAATCCCCGGCCCTTTATTCTGAATTTCCACGTGTATTTGATCTATTTCTGTTCTATTTGGTTCTGTTGCCCACAATGGAATTGTGATCTTGTGTATATCCCAATTGCTTTATTTGCTCCAGCTTTATAATATATTTTTACTACTGGGTAAGGTTATTTCTTAGAGATTTACAGGCTGTTTTCACTTATGCATTTTCCAGATGATGTTTAGTATTACTTAATCATTCGAGTAGGGGGTGATACAAAATACATACTTAGAAAAATACTTAATCACACTGTCCTATGTGCTATAAAGGAGAAAGTGCTGGATCTTGGGAGAAGACAGAGAACCCTATGATTCATACACACACACACACACACACACACACACACACAATATATATGTGTGTGTGTGTGTGTGTGTGTGTGTGTGTGTGTGTGTGTGTGTGTGTGTAGCAAATGTACAGGTGAACCTAATGTTTTCTCAATATAACCTTTTGTTCGAGACAAAAAGGAGTTTTCCCATTTACTCAAGTCTTCTCTTAGGTCCCTCAGTAAGTTCACAACTTTCCCTCGGAGAAGTATTATATATCCCGCGATAAGCGAATATCCACACAGCGGTCCTTTGTCTACCCTTGTGAATGGACTCTTCTCTTCCCGAGTGTCTTCTGACTGGCTGTGTGTTCCTGGGGAACCTTTCCAAACAGCCTGCCCTCGCTGGAAGCGCCTGGACAGCGGAGGCCCCCACTGCCGGGCCGCTCCCCTCCACGCCTGGATTCCGGGTGTCCCCGGCTCACCGATACCACCCTTGCTTCTCACCTCCTGGGGCAGTGGGTGCCGGGGCGAAGTGGATTTTTGTGACTATGAGCGTCACCCCCGACGGTGTCCCAGGCCACCCGGCCCCTGCCGAGCGGATTCTAGGGGTTGGACTCGGAACTTGTGGTTTGGGGCCGTGGGGACCCTGAGAACCTGCTCGGCCCATGTCCACACCCTCTCACAGGGAGATCGGAAGCTCCATCAGCCCCTCCGGGCGGCCACCTCTGGGACTGCAGACTAGGAAAAGCCGGGGACTTGGCCCCGATGTCATAGTAACAGTTTTCCAGGGAGTATGCGGTCACACAGGCTATGGCATGGAGGGAGATTTGTGGGTCCAAGAGCAGAGAACGTCACAGGCAGAGGTGGGTGCACAACTCGGTGACTTTGCTCTGTTCCCAGCCGGATGTGGTAAGGGCTCTGTAAATACTTCTTGGAGTGAACTGGGTATGTACCAGATTGGGAGCTCCATTGGCATCCGGATGATGGTGGTGATGATAACAAGTTATTATTATCTGCATTACTGGGGATTGAACCCAGGGCTTTCACAATGAGCTGCATGCTCAATCCTTTTTTTTTTTTTTGAGACAGAGTCTCCATATGTAGCTCAGATTGGCCTTGAACTCACTGTGTAACCCAGCCTGGCCTTCAACTCACAGCAATCCTACTGCCTCAGCCTCCCAAGCACTGGGATTACAGGTGTGCACCACCATGCTTGGCCCTTTTAAAATTATTTATTTTCTTTTTATTTTGAGACAGGATCATGCTAAGTCACTAAGTTGCCAAGCTTGAACTTGGGATCCTCCTGCCTCAGCCTTCGAAGGTGGTGGATGTGCCACAAGACCCAGCTGCATCTGGATTATTAAGGAGATAGTATTATTTTTTACTCCCTCATGTTTTCCAACATGTTTAACAAGGGAGTTTGATAGAATGAAAAACCCTTTCCTGTTTTCCCTAAGAATCTTGTGATGGCACTTCTCGGAGTGGCCACCAGAGGGCAGGGATACCCTCTGTCCGGCTTGATCCAGCCTCTAGGTCAAACTCTGAATGGAGCCTCTGGTTTCTTCAGAGGTCAGGGAACCACCGGGTGGCGACTCTCATGACAAGAATTGATCCTGTTTCTCAGTCTCTCAAATCTGGCTCCGAAGAGCAGGGCCTGAGGCATCTTTTTCTGGCTCTGCTGTGAGGAACACAACCTCTCAATCTGCTTTTCTCCAGGGCTGAGCCTTCCCGGGCTCTCTGGGACCCGCAGTGACAGGACAGGTCCCCTACCCTCACAGAGACCCGTCCTGGCTTGCTGACTTCCGGGTTCACACAGGAGAGCTCAGTTCTGGAGTCTGGTCTGAGGAAGACACCTGAAAGCTTTTCTTGTCTCCCGATTTCAGAGGGTTCAGTCCATGGTCACCTGGCCCATCATTTCCGGGCCTGTGGGGAGGGGAGCAGCACAGGGAAGGGCAAAGGGGAGGGAGCTGCTCACCCTTACAACAGCCAAAGGCGGGGGACAAAACACAGTCCCAAGTTGGTGCCACTGGACCCAGTACTCCACCTCCTGTCTCATCTGCTCCCATAAAGCCACCACGACACGAATCTGCCAGACAATTGGTCCACCGAGGTCGAAGCCACCTCCCAAAGCCCCCCTGTGGACACCACTGCACGGCAAGCGACAGACACATGAGCCTGGGGTTCCAAGTCCTAACTGAGATGTGTGGATAAAGGCCCAGTCCGAGCAGAAGCCAGATTTCTTTCCCCGACCCCTGCAGTGGGCTCGGCGAGGATTCATCCCTTCTCCCCACAGAGGCCCAAACACCTGCCCTATAGAGACCCAGTCTGCATGAAGCTCACAGCTTGGTAGGGGTGAGCAGAGTGGGTAAAAAATAAATCAGCATAAAGTGAAAATGGCAGCAGTGCTAGGAAGAAAGTCCAGCAGGAGAGGGAATGAGAACAGTGGGCTGGGAGTGCTGGCTTCAGTAGAGAGGCCAGGGAAATCTCCAGTGAGGTTCATCGTGAATGGAAACCCTAGGGAAATCAGGGGTCAAGACTAGCAAGGGATGGCAGAGGGGACAGGATGTACAAAGGCCCTGAGGCAGCAGATTCCACTTCCCATGCAAGTGCGGATTCCGCAGGGGTGCGAGACCTCACGGTCCCTGTGGGTCGTTGGAGACATTGCTTTTTGCTCCTTTTGCTCGGGGTGGGTTTTTTGGGAGACAGGGTCTCACTATGTATCCCAGGCTGGCCTGGTGAAAGGTGAGGGTGGTGGCCTGGCCCCTGGGGCCCTCCGGAAGTGCTTGCTGAACCGCCTTGAACTGCCTTGGTCCTGTCCCCTTCCCGAGAATGGAGAAACGACCTCGGGGACCAAACCTCCGCGGAAAATCCGTCTCGGTTTTGGGGGCTGCGGATTAGCAGAGGCGCCAGGGCCTGCGGTGACGCGGTCGGCCACACGGGGGCGCGGCGGGGTGGCCTGGCCCCTGGGGCCCTCCGGAAGTGCTTGCTGAACCGCCTTGAACTGCCTTGGTCCTGTCCCCTTCCCGAGAATGGAGAAACGACCTCGGGGACCAAACCTCCGCGGAAAATCCGTCTCGGTTTTGGGGGCTGCGGATTAGCAGAGGCGCCAGGGCCTGCGGTGACGCGGTCGGCCACACGGGGGCGCGGCGGGGAGGACGGCGTCGCGGTCCCCCTTCTGGATTCCTGGCCGCAGGTTGGGGCCGTTTCATTCCCTCTGCGGAACAGCAGCTCAGTACAGCGAAGAAACGGACCAGGGCCACAGCTCCCTTCTCTGCGGCTCTTCCGGGTTCGACTCCGCTTCTCCAAACAACTCGCACCTGTGGCAGCTGTGTATTATCCACTGTAACGTCTTCCGGTTTCTTCCACTCTCGC